ATTGAGAACTCTAAGAACTCAACTTTAACTGGAATGGGCACATACTATGTCAACACGATAGGTTATAAACCTCAAGTCGTGTGCTAGTGAAGAACTTTAGGTTTTATTTTGATTAGTTCTTGAGACTTTCAAGACCTTTAAGACTCCCACTGTCCTCTTGACCTATAAGACTCCCTTGTCAAACATCCAAGAGATAGTGTGGATTCTAACCAAGACAAACACTTCACACAATTGGCCTAAGTTGGTCTTTGTTTTATCCAAAACATCACAACTTACCAATTTCAAATGTACAAGAGTAGAAAACTTTTACTCTTACATTTGACACGTGTTTTAAACCTTCTTAAAGACATGTCACTCAAATTACAATCTTGGAGTATGACTCTAAGACTTGTATTGGAACGAAGTATGACTCATCTTCTTGATTTAACCATTTCAACAATTCAAGATCCTTTCTTCTTAGTCATAAGAATGCACTAAGACTTCCTTAGAGAACTAATTTTGATATGGTTTCTTAATCATTAAGATGATCACAAAACTGATACTAAAGTACTCTCCCATCTTTTCAGATTTGAGAAACTTTTATCCTTCTGCCTAATTTGATTCTTCTTATCCGCTCTGCCATGCATTGGAACCTTTTCCAATGTCTCAGAGTTACACTTAAGCTTGTAAGTATAATCATATTTACTGAGCTTTAGTAAACTATGACGAATAGCCTTATATCTTTTGTGGTGGACTTAATCAGTGCACATGACGATGTACTCGATCTCTTAGTCCATTACTTGACTCACACATCCATGTGAACAAGTAATTAGTCTTAATTTTTCCAATACTTGAAAGTTCTCATTCATCATGCTATACAACTTGCATGATTCCAAGTTCCGGTCCAATTGAGACTTTGGATGATGAGAATCTTTCCTTATTTGGTAAATTTAGACATTACCACAAATGAAGGAATCAATTTCATATTTCCACTCTTGCTATTAATGGAATCATATAAGCAACAATTTTTCCTCAAATGCCATTGTAAGGATATTTTAAAATAAATAAAATCAAAAATTCTTTTATTTTAAAACTATGCGGAAAAACTTATCCTTACAATCCATATGAAAACTTGTTGTTATCTATTCCTAAGCAATACCTCATAACTCCTAAGAAGTAGCTCAAGAATCCGATCTTCAAACTACGCGATAGAAATCCATCTATGCGATCAGATTCAACATATTCTTTCTTTAAGTTCCTTCACTTTTCTTTGATTCTTAAAACATCAACATGTGACCCAGTCACATCATGTAATAAGAATCTCAGAATAGAAACTTAGCATAGTTAGATAGTGGACTTTACCTGAAGTAGAGTCAAACTTATTGACTTTAACATCCTTAGGTAAATTAGGCAGCTTCGCAACTAATGATCCTTCCTTTAGCAATATAAACATATGGACCCTTTGATAATGGTACACAAGACTATTACAGACTTAGCCTTTTCTCTTTACCATTTTGTCAACCTAGTTGACTATGGTCAATCCTTTTTCCTTGGGAAGAGAATGCTTTTTCTGTATTTCCAGTGTCACCATTGTTAATGTCCATAAAGTTTCAGGAAGTTGATCTTAGCAAATAGATAAGATCATTAAGGGTCTTGTCATAGTCTGTTTCATAGGTGTTCCAAAAGAACTCACTATGTGACTTAGAAAGTGGTTGAACCACCAACTTTCTCAAGACTTTGACACCCTTCTCTCCCGACTTGTCAATATGTGACTACATTTCCAAGATGTGATCACACCTAGACCTTGCCTTACCAATAGGGCTTGATTGACTTTGAACTTGTGGGTTAGGAGAATAATTTGAGGAGGTGAAAGAAGTATGATTTCCAAGGGACATCATCTTCATTTAGGAAAGCTTGTTTCAAGAGATTTGGGAAGATCATAAATGTCTAAACCAGACATGTTTTGGGAGATATTCAAAATAGTTGATCTAAAGTCCTTAATATGACACCCAATCTGAAATATTAAGGCTAGGACCCAACAAACTATTTTATAACTTAGAAGAGGGATGCCGTAATCCAAGCTATAAAATATTTGAAGGTAGGTGAATGACGATTCACCAATTTCCACCATGAAAAATGAAATAATAATTAGGTTTTAATTGGTTTTGAAACTCCTAGATCTTTGAGATTCATTGAACTGTTCAATGGCATGTTTCAATCTCGAGTGTGCCCTTCAGGTTTTGTGACTGGGATGCCGAGGATCACAAAACAAGGTGTGAAGTTACCATGCAAATTACTTGGTATCCTTATGTGTTTACCCCTCAATCGATGTGCCGGTTAACCACACACACTCCATCGATACTATGATAAACATTAAGTTACCCTTTGCCTACCTTGTTAGATATGAGTTAGTGTGTCGGTTAACCACACACGCTCCACTAATCGACTTAAACAAAGTGCAAAGTGTAATTTCATGGATTAGCACCTTATTCACATTTTTCATAAGTAACTAAGATTGGGTATTATTAAGAGTTTAGTTACTTAGTATTTATCATTAATACTTTTAATGAAGGGAGAATTATAGTCCTGTCAAACCCGTTCGGCTAACGACCCTCCACCAGTCAAGCAAGCGGTGGGTGAGAGTGGACACCCATTAAGTTGCCATTTTATAGGCAACAACTTTATACCCACCTTACAGACCGACTTCGTGAATGAAGTGTACTAGCGGTAAGACTGACTTTACTCTTATACATATATATATATATATATATATATATATATATATATATATATATTATTAACTTATAATATTATAAAGTATAAGGGTTGAATTTTAACTTTTAAAATTCTAAGGGCTAACTTGGAATTAAAGTATTCATAAGAGAAAACTTTACAAATTCCAAAACTTGAGGGCAAGTTTTGAAACTATTCAAAACTAATTAATTCCATAACTTATGTGTTTAAAGTAGTTTTAATCCAAAAACTCTTCAAGTTCCATAACTTGAGGACAAATTATGGAAGACTTTAAACTAATAAAGAATTAACTTTTTCTTTATTTTATAACTTATGAAATTAATTAAGGTTACATTTTTTTTTATATTTATTTAATGAAGAGACTCTTGGTCCTCCATAACTTGAGGACAAATTATGGAGTCATAACTCCAATTAATTAGAACTAGACTCTTCATTTTGTAACCTTTGCCAACTTTTATGAGTTTTATGAAACTTAAATGTGACTTTTCATATAACTTGAGGACAAGTTACAAAAACACATTTTAGAATCAACTCTTAGATTAATTTGGATTGAAAACAACTTTTTCACTCAACTTTTCTATTAATCTAAGCAACTCATAAGAACAAGATAATTCAAATCAAACTTTTTCATGTAATTAGTCTAAACTTTAAACTAATACAAAACATGAATCTATTGACAATTATCTTTGAAATTGGATTAGCATGAACATTACCACATCAAAAACAAGTTTATAAGTTCAAAAACATCTTTGGGTAATGTTCCTAGTCCAATTCCAGCCAAAAAGGTCGAATTTATGCTGTCTGGGGGTCCAACTCATCGAGTGCACTAACCAACTCGGCGAGTTCGATGCTTTTTGCCTTGGACTCGTCGAGTCCCTTCATGGACTCGGCGAGTCTGCTGGGCAGACAGCATCAAAACTCGATTTTTCAGCTCCATTTGCAAGTATAACAAGAAAACAAACCTAGGCTTTGATACCAGTGTTGGGTTATGAGCATTCTAACACTCATAAGTGTACATGCAACCCTAAATACCTTGGATCTATGTTTTCTCTATTATACATGCAAATATCAACTTTCCAAGGTATTGTTCTATTCTAGCATACTAAACTTTGAATAACACAAGTTAGAATAACATACCTTTTCTTAGTGCTTGTCTTCATGAAGCTTGAGTGCCTAGTGCCCCAAGTGTGACACCTCAAATGGTTCACACAACACCATAAGCACTTGGAATAACTTAGAGAGAATTCTACACTTCATGAAATCGGCTAGCCCTCTCTAGAATAATACTAGTGTCGATTTTGTCAAGAATAAGATCTTTATATAGTGTTACAATTAGGGTAAACCCTAATTGTCATGACTTTCCATTTACTTGGATCCATGGGTTCAAATACACCATGGAGCATCCATGGACCATCCTATGGGTTTTAGCCCAACTTGATTATCCATGGAGCATTAGCCCACTATACAAGTATGGATGATTTACACAATCAATCCATATATTTAATTAGTCTTCTTTTGATCACTTAATTAATCCTAGATTAATTCTTGATCAATACTAATTAAATAATCTCATTATTCTTATTATTAATATACAAGAACTCATAATATATTAATAACCATAAATGTCTTATTTCTCTCATTATAGTCTATCCAAGTGCTTGATGCCATGCAACCCAAATGGACCATGCTAGGTCGGGTCAAGTCTTACCAATTATAGTTATGGACTTAGACATTAATCCAACAAACAGATCTTTGGGTTGGATTCAAATGATGTGTCCCAAGTTTCTCCCGATCCAGCTTTAGTCCCGACAAGAGACGAAGTTGTTTCAGGTTCATCCTCTCTTCCTGCGGCAATTTCTGCCATCTATGTGCCAGATTAGGGGCTTAAATGAGATTCTCTCTTAACAAATCATTTTGTTGCATACGAATGGAATCTTCATGCCTTTCCTCCTATTATGATCGAAGCTCCAGAACTCCTTTCTAACTCCCATATATCTAACATCATGCAGTATGTAGCCGCTCAAGTTGCCCCCTACATAGTTGTTGCTGCACGGTGCCTTCTCCAGGTTAATTAAGATTTTGGAGGGCTTGCCTTTATAAGGGTCATGCGGGGTGAGCTAAAGGCGAGGCTTTCGAGTTTAGTGGAGGAGAATCATATGTTTAAAGAGCATTACAATCTCTTGGTTGGGGAAAAAGCATCTTTAGAGGAGAGAGTGGCAACTTTAGATGGGTCAGTGGAAGGTTTCTCTCAATGAATCAATGTCTTGATGGAGGAGAAGAGGGTGCTGGAGGGTCCAGTAGAGGAAGTTAGTAGGCTACTTGAGGGGGAGGGCATGAGGAGGAAGGTTGTGGAGGATGATTTCAAGTGGTTGCTCCAGAATGGTGTTTTCCAAGTGGTGGAAAAAGCGGTTGAGTGCGCCAATGTTTCCCTAGGTTTAAGGTGTATGAAGGCAGCTTGCATCACTGCCGGGGTTGAGGGTGGTAAGCAGGTGATTAGGGAGCAGATTTCCACCGAGAAATTCATGTCTGACGAGCCGAGTACCCTTCTGGAGCATACTCAGGTAATGCATGAGAATGTGAAGTTTCTCTTGGAGAATGATTTTGCCTCCTACCTCCACCTTGGTGAGCTTGACATGGAGGGTCTCCGTCAGCTGTGGAGTGATCTAGATGCCGAAGTATCTAAGTCTGCGAGCCCGACCTTCTTCCACTCCTCCCGGTATATGATTTTTATCCTCCTCTCAGTTTTTTGTTGTTTGATACATTGTTTGGATCTTCTCGGTGTTTGTGAGACAATGGTATTATGTGATATTTGAATTCATATTGGGACCTGCATGACGTATCTAAGTCTGTGAGCTGTCTGACAGACAATTCTAAAATCCTTACTCTTCGTTGTTATAACTTTCCTTACTTTATCGCATTTTCTTTTCGTCCCTGGTGGTTCGTGTTCGCCACCCTAGGTTTTGGTTTGTCTCAAAGGTTGATGTTGGCCTTTGGGGCAGTCGTGATTTTTGGTTTCACATTGGGGGAAATTGGTTATGATTCCCATTTGTTTTGTAGATTTTTTGGGCCCAAAGCAGGTTTCTTGTCTTTAGTCCGAGAGCTTGCTATGGTGGGCTTAGCGTTCATCCCTTTTTAGTGTTCTAGGTTTAACCTTGTAGGATCAAATCCTTGGTTGTCCTTTGGTTATGAACTCTGGCTGATTCATTTTGTTATGGCGCCCTTTTTTAACTAAAGGGTTTTTTTGTATTACCGTTTTGGGATTTTTCTCTAAGTCCTGAGTTAAGGAGGATTGCACTTCGACCCTAGTTATCTAATCAAGGATGAGATCATCACCTTGAGGCCTGAGGGCTTAGGTATTGTATATTTTGAGGGAAAGGTTACGATCCTTTAAGGCCTCTACTTGTCATGGTCATGAGTTGTGGCTCTTTTGAATTTACTGGCGAATTTTTAGTGAAATGTTATGAGCCTTTGAAGCCTATTTTTTCATTCTTACAACTGGTTCGCTTAAACGATGTGGATTGTCAGTCCTTGTAGTCGTTTGGTAAATGTGTACATCCTCTTATAAGTGGTGTCAAGCTCGAGTACAAATATTTTTGCGTTATATATATATATATATATATATATATACACATACATACATACATACATACATACATACATACATACATACATATTGTGGAAAGACAACTTTTGTAGTCTCGTTAATGATGTTTTTCTTTCTGGAAAGATCTATGTTTTTTTTAATAAGGGAAGAAGGGTGACTGCTATGTAAGCCAACTCATTGCCCTTGTGTTGTTTTTAAGGGGTGTGATTATCCATTCCGAGTTTGATCACATTGTCTTTGCTTCAAATCCACTTCGTTTAGGTCTCTCCGTTCACTCTAGGGATAGTAGTATGATCCGTGTGTGTGCCCAGTTTCCAGGGATACACCCTCATTTTGGATTCTTGGGGTTTGTACTCCCCCTTTATTTGTTCTTTCAATTCTTCTTGCACGTTACTTGGTGGACCTGTCCACACTCACGGATTGCTTTGCTTCATTGGTGTTTGTGTCAGAGTTCAGTGTTCACGATAACCTAATCGTTACCTTGAGCGGTGATACTCTTTTCTCGACTTTGACTTGGCTATGTGGTAAATTTCCGCTAGGCGGTGTCCCTGTGACCCGAGCGTGTTTTCCTAATGTGTGGTTGTGTCCTTTCACATGCAGGATCTTTATAGTTCCGGGTGGACTGCCTTCCTGGGAGTGACCTTTAGATCATCTTATCTCATGGTGCCTTCTGCCTGGTTCTTTTGTTTCTTCTTTGTCACAACCGCCATATTTCCTTGTGTAGTGTTGTTTGGGGCTTTATATGGTGGGAGTTCAACCCGGAGGTGATCTGAGTGTAGTTTGATTTGGCTGGGGGGACCTGTGGTTTTGTCGATTTGTCCTAAGCTGACTTCTTTTTAGGAGTGTAATGATGAAATTTTCAAACCAATTTTTTTTTTTCATTTTTAAAACACATAAAACTCATATATTATATTTCATAAAACTACAAGTGTCTCAAAAGTCAACATAAATCCACAAATAAAGTCAAATCTTAGAATCCTCAACAAAGTCTCGAACAGGTGTGTACAATCATGCCGACACCTTCTCGCGGTGTTGGGAAGTACCTGAAACACATATCACACAACACGGTAAGCACAAAGCTTAGTGAGTTCCCCAGAATACCACATACACAAATAATAATCCTCTCACGGCTATAACTCGGCATGGACCCTCCGGTATCATGCCTCTTAGTGTGGACCCTCCGGTCATGTGTCTCAATGAGCACCATCTGGTCTCACAGCTCGGTTTGGACCCTTCGGTCCTATCTCAGTGGCAATCCTTCAGTCCCACAACTCGGTTTGGAGCCTCCGGTCCTATCTCAGTGGAAACCCTTCGGTCCCACAACTCGGTTTGGACCCCCCGGTCCTATCTCAGTGGAAACCCTCCGGTCCCACAACTCGGTTTGGACCCTCCGGTCCTATCTCAGTAAGCACAGAATATAACATATATATCACACAAACAAAATGCATAATATCACATAACTTAGGTAAGCATATAAGACCCTCTGGTCACACATAGATACCACTCATGCTAAGTATAGTGAGAAGACTCACCTCGTAAGAAATCGGATAACCTCGAACTCAAATCATCGGTCTAGCCTCCGCCTGTCACGTACAATAATTATTCCTAATTAATAACGACTCAAAGAACCTAGACTAACCCTTCTTAAAGGTCACAAAAGGGTAAAAGACCATTTCACCCTTCTATGTCCTTAATAGTCTACAAGTTGACAAAACCCTAAAAGTCAACTAAAAGTCAACGGCAGCGCGTATGTCACGCGTACCAGACCTCTATGTTGGGCGTACTCCAACGCCATGCATGCATCGTGGATTCCCGAATGTACGCTGCACGTACTGTGATTACACTCAGGGTACGCCCCAGTTTTGCTCTTCCTACTCGTTTGCTCTTAATCCGTTAAGACCTTAGCTTATATCACAGATCTGGACTCCCTAAAGGCTCTTACTCCATAAAGTCTGTGACTTTAAGCCTTTGCATGGATGATAAAGTCACAAACACCCAAAAATCTCATTCTCTTATCTCAAAATGCTCATATCTAATGCATGGCTTGATTCACACGTTAAAGTCTCGATTTTTATGACACTATATCACTAAAGGCACTCAAAGGAGCTGATCATAGTCTCTAGAGCTCAATATCTCATAAAGCATCCAACTTTCAGACTAAAACCCTAAAATGATCTAACATGATGGACAAATCAAAAGAGTGAGAAAGCTTTGAGCTTTATACCTCAAAATGAAGCTCCAAACTAAGGTAAGCTCAGATCCACAGCCTGGAATCTCATTCTTTCTTCACTCCAAAGAAACACAAGATCACTCAAATGCTCACAAATGGACACACAAGCTCAATGGACGAGTATTTAGGGTTTTAGAGGGTTTTTTGTCTAAGGATGGTGGCCAAGAATGAGGCCATCATATCCTTTGTATAGGGACATACCCCAAATTAGGGTTTTCATTCTGGGCCTAGTACACCCGGTGTACCCTCTAGTACGCCCAACATACTAGGTGGCTTCTGCATCAAAAACACGCATATGAGTAAGCTGAGCGTACACACGTATACGCCCCACGCACTCATTTACCACCTTTTTCTTAATGGGCTAAAATTGACAATTTACCAGAAGAAAAAGGGTTTATAAGGTATACCTCATCTTGGGATGTTAGAATTCTCCCCCACTAGAATCAGAATTCGCCCTTCAAGTCAGGCTCCGAAAATAAGTATGGATATTGCTCGCGCATCTTGGACTCCGACTTCCATGTGCACTCGGACCCCTTCCAATGTTGCCACTGGACCTGAACTAGAGGCACCTCCTTGTTCCTCAGAACCTTCACTTTCCGATCCAAAATCGTAATCGGCCTCTTAATATAATTCAGACTCGCATCCACCTGAATGTCCTCTAATGGTACCACTAATGTCTCATCGACCACACACTTCCTCAACTAAGACACATGGAAAGAGTTATAAATCTGGATCAACTCTGCCAGTAGCTCTATCCGGTAGGCTACCCTACTTACTCTGACGATCACTCTGAAAGGACCAATGTATTGGGGCCCCAGCTTGCCCCGTTTCCTAAATCAGATCACCCCTTTCCACGAGGATACCTTCAAGAGGATAAAATCTCCAACCTGGAACTCTAGCTCATATCGTCGCCGATCCGCATAACTCATTTGACAACTATGGGCTGTCAATAACCTGTGTTTGACCCGATGAATCTGCTCGGTCATCCTCAGCACTATCTCGGTGCCACACATCACTTGCTACTCTACTTCTCCCCAACAAACGGGAGTCTGACACCTCCTCCTATATAGAAGCTCAAAAGGAGGCATATTGATACTCGAATGATGGCTGTTGTTGTAAAAAACCTCACCCAAGGGAAAATAAGCATCCCAACTTCCTCCAAAGACCATAACACATGCACGCAACATGTCCTCGAGCATCTAAATCGTCTGCTCGCTCTGCCCGTCTGTCTGCAGGTGGTATGCGATATTGAAATGCAAACGGGTACCCAACGCCTCATGAAATTTATTCTAGAACCTAGAAGTAAAGCGCACGCCTCGATCTAATACTATTGAGGTCGGAACTCCATGTCGTGCTACCACCTCTTTCACATAAATCTCAGTCGGTCTCTCTGCAGAAAAGCTCTCACTAATAGTGAGGAAGTGAGCACTCTTCGTCAGCCGGTCCACAATCACCCATATCATATCCACCTCATGTGCAGTTCTCTGTAACTTGGTGATAAAGTCCATAGACATCTGTTACCACTTCCACTGGGGAGTCTCTAAAGGCTGTGAAGGACCCTGTGGAATCTGGTGCTCCGCCTTAACCCGACGACAGGCCAAGCACCTCTCTACAACCCAAGTGTGACATCCCCATTTTTCATGACCAGAAAAGACCGATTTTGTTTATGCCTGTTTAAAAATCAGGGTAACATTTTAAATAAAAGTGTTGCGGAATTTGTTCCCGGAAAGCATAATAAATAAGTTATCAAAGCATTTCTGAAGAAATGTATTTTTATCCATTTTAAAACATTTGAGATGTCATCGTTAATACATAAACATAAGCATAAACAAAACTTACATTCATAATCACTAGTGATTTATATCTCCTTAATTTCTCACTGTAATGTAACTTCATATCGACACCTGTGATTCAGATAAACTAAGTGGGTCAGGTTGGGAAACATAGTGAGCACATAGGGCTTTTAACCCATAACAAATAAGTTTATTAACTTTATTAAACTAATCAAACCCCTTACCACTTCCCGTTGTCCTCACTTTACGTCCCTAAAACATCTAACATAAGGGACCTAGCCATAGGATTTCCATCGGGGTGACAACACATGCTTTGGGGGTTCCTTAGTAATTCATGTCAAATAAGGCAACCATGTAGGGGATGGAGTACTGCTGGTGAGCACACAATTCAAATAAACACCTACCAGTTGCGAGCCTGCTAGCGTTACACTGGACTGTTTAGAATAGTCTATGGTCGTCATCTATACTCTGCTAGATGACTGGACCATCAATAACATCGATAACGAGGCCTCTCATTGTTTTATTTTGTCACACAACAACTATTACATCTACCCATGTTTTACCCAACACATTTTGTAGATATAAAATACATATACAACTTAAATCATTTAAAACATGTATAAAGTCGTTTATCCCGCATAGATAACAAGTATACAGATAATATGCACACACAATACATAATTTATATAAAATACTTCATAATTATGTGTAAGATTAAAGTAACTATACACTCACTTGTTATGGTGGTGATTCCGAACTCAGACAGCGCTTTGTTATCTTAAAACAATTTTCCATTGACAAAACCTAGTATCAATACCACTAGGTTTTTGTCTAACGTTAACCGCGATTAATTAATAGTCTAACTATTATTACTATTATATAAGCGTTAAAGAAAACTCTTATATAAATCATAATACGAACCCAAATAATTATTTTAAGGTGCTAATAATGTAACTATAATTAATTAGAAGCTATATTAAAAATAGTGTAATTAAGCGTAGCTCACTTACAGCATGTTTTATAGAAAATCGGGTTTCGCTTGGAGCAGCATTTCTGAACCAAAAGACCCTTCTTCTCGGGACTCCGGGAGCCTTGGGGCTTCCTTCGGGTGCTAGGGGGTATACATGGGGTTTAGGGGGGTTTGGGATCCTAGAGAGAGAAAGAAACTAGAGAGAGAAGTGATTTTGGTGTGATTTCTTCGGCAACCCTCACAGCCTATTTATAGGTGCGAGCCTTCGGTTGTACACTGGGCGTACAGCAGCACTACACGGGGCGTAGTTCGGATAAGGACAAAAGGTGGCCAACTCCGGATGGTGCGTCGTGGAGGCTTGTGGACGAAGGAATGCAGTTGTACGCTGAGTGTTCCGAGCTCGGATGTTGGGCATACCAAAGGTGACGTGTCTCCATCCGAAGCAAGTACTGAGATCAGCAATGGACGGCTGGGATCTTGCCACATCATCGTTCTTGCTACACAATTCGCAATTTCTCATCCCGACTTAGAAAATTCGTATCTTTCACATACAAGCTCCATTTTCGACGTTCTTTATATCCACGCGTAGGCGGGAATGTACTCTACAACTTTCATTTAGGCTCCGTCAGCTAATTTTAACATTATTTTAAATTTATATTTTTATCAGGCCGAGACATGGTTGGTCTGTTAAAAATCCATAACTTATTCATCCGACGTCCATTTTCATCTGTCTTTTCACCGTTACGCTACTATTAACAAGATCTTTGATTCTCGT